ATGTGCAAGGACATTTGTTGCAAGTTAAAATGGAATAGAAAGTACAATCTAACTGTCCATCAACAGAATAAGGAGTGTGATGTATGAGCTATAATAGACTATCATTTAACAGTTGTATCAATAAACTCTCAACTTATTCAATAACAAAATACACTGGGAAAAAATTGAGGCTATATATTGACACATCACTATCCTACTTGCATAACATTTAAGAAGCATACAGAGAGAAAATATATTACTTATTAATTATAGCAAAAATATGCAACATTGCATGGAAATGATAATTTCCAGCTTAGGATAAGGATTGCCTTGGAGGGAAGGGGGAAAAATGAGACCAGGAAGTGGTAAAAGGGTCACTGGTTTTATATGTCACATTTTGTCTTAAACTGTTATATAACTATAATATTCCTTCCCGTATTTTGTCTACCTGCTGAAAGTATAATTTTTAAAGAATTTCTTAATAACAAGTCAACAATGAAATCAAAAGAGAAAAGTGTGAAGGAAGCCTGAAGGAGATGACTGGAAGCTGGAAGCCAGCCAGGGTGACAGGGTGAGACCTTGTCTCAAAATGAACACACAAATAGAAACTTGTTCCAGGACACATATGCACGTCGCGACAAATGACAATATAAACATGACTTACCAAAGCTTGTAAGGTATGCCAGGAGCCATCCTAACACATGTGTGTCTCAGTAGCACAGTTCTTGCCCAGCAATGAGCAACGGTTGAGTCTCTAGAACTCTAAGAAAAAAGATCCTACAACCACCAAAACTAATACATGCTGCACTAGTTAGGAAAACACCAGGCTGAACACAGCAGATAAGGAAATAGCATAGATAAAAATATAGAGAGGATAGAAAAACTGTAAGATAAAGAACTCAAAACCAACCTAAATTTGGCTTTCTGAAGAAAGAAAATCAATTAGCTTCTAACCTAACTAAGAAAAAGAAAATCTCTGAATGAATAAAATAATATAACATAAATCAAAGTGGCAACTACAGTAAAATTATCAGAAATTAAAGGGATAATGCGGGTCTATTATATACGATTTCCAAAAATTGTCCAAGAGACCATCTGTGGCAAATAGTGCCTGCAGTGAACAGTGCCGTATCATATTCCTTTAACTCTTACTAAAAGGCCATAGCTTACCTTAAGTGTTCCTACTACACAGGCATGGTAAAGAGGGCAAGAGGAAGCTCTTGGTCATGGTATGTTTACAGCATAGATCATGGTAATGGTTTCACAAGGGTATACTTATTTAAAAATTAAGCAAACTATAATTAAATGTGTACAACTCCTGTGTGTCAATCACACTTTAATAGTGTGGAACTATTTTTTAGGAGATAGTTTGAATTAGACTTCCAGTATGTAAAAGAAAAAATTCCAATAGCCTAAATTGATATTAAATGAAAAGACTCCTTCCCACACATTCACTATGGCCTGGTCCAGCTCCCCAGAGACAACCATTGTTAGAAATTTCCTGTTTCTCCCACACATCCCACACAGGAACAAGCAATTCTATTCCATATAAACGCCTATTTTCCATATAGATGTCTATTTAAAAATGTCTATTTTCTCGGCCTGACTTAGTGCATACTATGGTGTTCTGTTTGAGTCCAAAATTAAAATCCAAAGTCCTCAGATGTGGCATCAAATTTAAGTCAAACCCATTCATGGGAACAAGATCCCAGGCTTGGGAGACAGCTCAGACAGACAAACACTTACCCTGAAAGCACAGGGCCTGAATTCAGTCCTCAAAGCCTAAATTTTAAAAACATTGGGTGTATTCATAGCACACACTTGTAATCCCAGCCCTCAGGAAGTGGAGACAGGTGGATCACTGTAGCCCACTAGCCAACCTAGCCTACTTGGCAAGTTCCAGGTGAGTGAGACAATATCTAAAAACAAAACAAAAAGCAGACAGAGCCTAAGGAATGACAGTGCTGTGGAGTATTCCTTTTCACTCTGTGAATAGATGTCACTGTGACTGGGTTAGTAAGCAAGCTTGTGAAGGGTGCATTCAGGAGGTCCACGAACACCTGAGTAGAAGAATAACGAATATTTATTTAGGGAACACTTGCACACTGAAGGTAACTAGTTGCTGGGTCTTCTGCCCTTGGAGGAGCAGGATTTGGTGATGCAGGACAATGATCAGGTCTCAGACTGTCACCCCAAGAGAGAGAGTTCAAGAGCCACCCTCTCCCTCTTCCTTATAAGGGATCACTTTGGCGCACCAAAGCCATGCCCTAAAACCTCGAAACTGTTGGTAGAAACAAATTCCCACTACACTTCCTCCTTTTGTCTAAATGAGAGGGTTCTAAACCTGAAACAAAAGCCATATACAATGGGGATAGACATCAAGTATTGTCCAGGAGAAAATAAGGTTAAAACTTTCACAAATTTAGGCCTACAGCCAGCAAGAGCAACAACAAACAAGAGACACATACTAAATGTCCAAACTATAGGATCGGCAAGATCACAGAGATTATTCCAACAGCTGTCCTATCCTGAGGAGTCTGAGTCTTGTATCTAAACCATCTTAGCTGTGATGTGAGAGGAAAGTAGCACAGACTATCTAGTCTTCAACCACATCAAAGACCTTGGAAGGAAAATAGTATTACCTGGGTAGGATGTACAAGTGGGCAACTTCCTAGTATTGCAAGGAATGCCAGAAACAACTTTGGCTAAGGCCTAGAATATCTGACAGACCATTTTCAGAAGCAGGGGAGACGATGTGGGAGGTCTTTCTGTATGCAACAAATATGTGTTGTTTTTATTGGTTTATGAATAAAGCTGTTTTAGCCAATGGACAGGCAGGATTTAGCTAGGCGGGGAATTTCCAACAAAGAGACAGGAAAAGAAGAACAAGAGATATGCCATGAAGCTTCCAGAGAGGCAGAATGTTGGGGTGTCACCGGTAAGCCAGACCACGTGAAGACGCACAGATGAATAGAAATAGGTTAATAATTCAGAAGAGAGCTAGCCAGTAAGGAGCAGAAGCCATTGGCCACACAATTGTAACGGATATAATAGTCTCAGAGTGTTTATTTCTTATGTGGCTGTGGGACCCAGTGGGCAGAGAAAAACCTGATCCAGTGGGACAAAGATGAAGAAAATGTTCTACACTCTGGTGCCCAAACACGCTGGGGCTAACCCAACGGCCACAGCCAGCCCACATGGCCCACAGCCCACTTTGGGTGCAGGTGCTTATATGGCCCATCAGGGTTGGGAGGAAAGTAACTAAGAGTGTACCCCAAGCCTTTGCATTACCTGCTGGTACAAGTGGCCCAATGAGGTCTGCTAGGTATACGCAGACAGAAGAACATGGTACATTCTCTGTGGTAAACAAAAACAGAGATTGGAATGTAAAAAATGCAAAAAGTCTGCCAGACACTCGGACCTGGGCTGCTACCAAGGACCGTGTCTGGATCCATGGTCCTACTACAGCTGGGTCTGTGCTGATGTCCATTGTCCATGGTAATACCAAAGGCCACATGGATACCCAGAGTCTTGGCCACAACCTGTGGCCATGTTGGTGTCTGAGGGTCATGTGGCTGTGCTAATCTGAGTGACCTGCACTGCCACATGGAACCACGGTGTCAATCAGGCCCAGGCTGCTGCCTAGGGTCATGTGTGGGCCTATGTCAGGATCTGAGTTGATGTCCATGGCTCCTGTCACCACTGAGGGCTGTGTGGAAGTAAGGGGTCTGGATAGCCACCTGAGACCATGTTGGTGTCCAAGGGCCTTACTCCAACAGGACCATACTGATCTGGGTGGCCTGTGCTGCCACAGGGGCCATGGTAATGTACAGGCCCAAGCTCCTGCTGATGGCCATTTCTGAGTCTCTGTTCCTGTTGTAGCTGAGGTCTTCGATGTTGTTCATGGCCCATGATGCCTCAGGGGGTTATAGGCACCATGCATGGTGAAATCTGAGGTTCATGCTGAATTGCACCCCCTCTCACTGACCCTGGGATAGTAGGCCCCGCCCTTCACCCTGGGTGTGGGACAGCTGGTCCCAATGGCATGGGCCTAGGAGGGCTCTCTCTGCGCCTTGCCTGAGGGGAGTGGTCCCCCAAGTGACCAGCTCAACTACCACCCAAACACACATCCTGGGCCTTGGATTGGCCTGCCCTAACATCTACCCCATCTATGGCCTGCTGGAATGTATGAAGGGACTGGTCCTGCAGAACAATAACCACTGGATCTCCGTGAGTTGGGACAGCAGCAGGGTATCAGAGAGGAGTTATGGTGAGGGTCCAGTGACGATGGTGTGCCAGAGGCCTTGAACCAGACCAAGGACTCATTATAATGAACACTGTGTGGGAGGGGCTGATTGGACAAAAGCATACCCTGCATGACACACAAAGCACCTAGTACCACTAGGATGAGTAAAAGGGTATTGGAAAGAAGAGGAGCAGGGTGAGGGTTTTGTTTTGAAACGATTTGGGGGGTTCTTTTGGGGGTGATGTTGCAGGGGTGAGGGGAAGTTTGGGAGGGCCTGGGAAGGGAGTGGGATTGAAGTTCATGATGTGAAATTCCCAAAGAATCAATAAAGAACTGTGTTACTAAAGAAACAAAAATAAAAAAGCACCATGTAGAACTCTGAAGCAAATCTCTCCTGGCTGTTGGTCCTGGGGCCAATGTGCGATTATCTGAGATCTGGCTTAAGTTTTCTGTTGTTCATTTTGTTTTTCACTTAGTAGCTTTGTGTTAATAGAAAGTCCATTCACTGAAGGATTTGCCTGGCATTTCTGTGATAAAACAGAAGGCTTTGCAACAGCAACAAAGTTATTATTATTGGTAATAAAATGCCAATCTTGGCATTATTACCAGTAATGTTGGTAATCACGAGTGTCATTCAGAGAAAATGATAGAGCACAGTCCAATTGATTTATTACCTTTCAGCCCTCCATGTATGGTCTCTCTCTTCTCATGCTTGACTTTGCCTTAAATCACTCTGGTACCCATCAGTAAGAAGAATGTCTCCTTTGTCTTTCAGGCTCTTCTGACCTATAAGACTGACCCAGCCATGAGAAAAATGTTGAATCATCTCTACTTCTATATCATGCCTGTGTTTAACGTCGATGGATACCATTTCAGCTGGACACATGTAAGTTGATTTGCCGATAAAATTGAGAAGGGGACTCAGTAGGTCATAAGAAAGTAAAAGGAGTTTCCTGGTCAACCCACTAATGGGTTCCAGAGACATGAGAGGCTTCCTCCACAACCATTTTCATAATTTGCTTTTGCATTAGATTTCATAGAAGGAAGGAGTTCTCTTTCCAAGTAGGTTATTAAAAATCCCTAGCATCACCTGATTTATTCAATTTGCCTATAAAGACAAGCCAAAGGAGATGGGGGGTGAAAATGACCAAAATAAACTGTATCAAATTGTGTAAGGTGGGGGGAGGCCAAAAATACAGGTGACACTAAATTGGTGTCAGAAAACAGAGCATGAGGCTGGGCCAAGGCTGATCCTTGCCTCTGTCTTCTCCTGGCTGGTCTGTGAATGCAGGAACTGGCCCCAACATGATGTGCCTTCACCCACCAGGCAACTAAAATACATATGAATATTCTTTTGTGCTCTTAGTTTTAACTCTCAACTTAACACAATCTAGAATCACCTAGAATTTGATCAGGCTGGCCTATGGACACATGTGTGCGGGATTTCCTGGATTGTCGATTCATTTAGGAAGACCCAGGCCACTATGGGCAGTACCATTTCATAGACTGGGCTCTGTATTGTGTGAGGGAAGAGAAAGCTAAGTGCTTAACATGCAAGCAGGAATGTATTTACTCCCTTCATTCAATAAGACTAGCTGCTTGAACTCCTGTCTTGACTTCCCCCAAAATGACAGACCACAATCCGCAATCATGACCCCAACAAACCCTTTCTCTCCAAGTTTCCTTTTGTCAGGGTGCTTTTATCTCAGCCACTGAAATGAAGCTCGGACATGTTTTAAGTGCTTCGTTCTCTGCCTGGTGTTTTACCCATGTCTAGGATCGATTCTGGAGAAAGACAAGGTCAAGAAACTCAAGGTTTCGCTGCCGCGGAGTCGATGCCAATCGCAACTGGAAAGTGAAATGGTGTGGTAAGTTAGACTTTAAGTACCACAACCTATAAATAAATAAGTAAATAAGTGAAAAAGTAAAAAGACATGGGTAAGAACACTACAGCTATAATCTTCAAAAGAAAGTTTTTAAAAATGATTTTTTAATATGTAAAATAAATCCTAAGCTTTCAATTTGTCAGCCTAACCCTGAAAATTTGCCTTGTCCAGCCCTAATACAAAGGGAGGTGTTTAGGTTTACTGCAGCTTGATGGGCTGCGTTCTGTGGCTATCCCTGGGAGGCTCCCCCTTTTCTGAATAGGAACAGAGGGGTAGTGGACTGGGAGGACAGTAGGGAGGACAGGAGGGAAGGGAAACTGTGGGTCGGATGTAAATAAACAAATACTTTTTAAAATTTTAAACACAGATAAAAGCAGAAAACTGAGGAATAGCTGCCATTCATAGAACTAGTCTAACTACTGAAGGCTTGCTGTGTAATTGGTTCAGGGTTCCCACACATGACATCAGAGTGACAATAACCCTGACTTCACAACTGCAGAGACCAAAGATGTCCTGTCCTTGGCTGGAGTCTACCATCTTGCCACTCAGTATTTTCCTAGGCACTCACATCGGAAAGAGATTTCCCTGCATCCCAGGCCATTATCTTCCACGCAGGGGGGAGAGTGTCATTTTATGAAAGACACACTTTTCCGAATAAAGGGGTAGGCAGGGATGGCGAGCGGATGAGAACCCCTTGACTGGAATACTTGAACAGACACAGGGTTGCAGAGGGCGCTGTACAGAGCTGCCCACTTACAGGGTCTATGATTAAGTCCTTCAAAGCACAGACCACAGAAATCGATTCCTTCTATCGCGTTTGGGGGTCTACATTAGAAGGCACTGCCCCATCCCACCAGTATTAGACAGAATGACTGGGAATGGACTCAGGCTCCTTCTACCCATCCAGGAGAAAGCCCTCTATCAACCAGAACTGTGACTAAGAATGAAGAATTGCTGAGAAAAAAAAAAAAGGAAAGAAAAGAAATAAAAATACCTCAAATTATGATAGAGTTTGATTCTGGTCAATTATTGATGTTTAATAAGGATCAGGAGAAACAAATAGATCGAATAGATGTTTATTCAGAGAGAAATAACTTACAGCATAGACAGATGAACACCAGCAGGTTCCTGGTCCCAAGGATGCCTCCAGATGCTCTCCTGTCCCCTGCTGCAAGCAAGAGAGCTCTCCGAGCCCCCTCCTCAGACCTAGTTCCCCCAGGTAACTTCCGGCCCTGTCTCCACCCCCAATGGGCGTGGTCTATGCCACAGGTACAGACAAAGTGAATATCTCACTACAATCAATGGTTTGGATGACCCTTTAATCTGTAAAGCTGCAATACCATCTCATGATATTCTTAAAGGGCTGGAAGGATCTTCCATAAATGGAATACCTAACTCACTTCCAATCCACACAGGACCTGAACACCATTGTCCTCTTCCTCCCTATATCTACAACAGTCGGTTAACCCTGAGCCTTAACCCAACTGGTGAAACCCTCCCTCTCTTCATGTGATATGAGCAATTTACCTAGTGCTTACATTTGTGGAGAAGAGGGTGCATTGCATGAATACCATGTGGTATTATCAACGGCTTACTGAGTCTGCAAATTATTTTCTCCAAACTAGGCTAAGTTGGTATGTTCGTGGTAATTCTCTCCAAATATTTGCAACACCTCCCCGCTAACTTAACCTCCGGGGGCTTTCCAAAGATGAGGACATCTGAGGATGGAAGCCTCAGGAATGGCATTAGTGCCCTAATAAAAGAGGCCAAAGGAATTCGATTTCCCTTTCTCCCATGTAAAGAAACAACTACAAGGCTACCCCTATGAGAAAATTGGTCCTCGTCAGATACTGAAATGTCTAATAACTTGAACTTTAAACCTCTACAGCTTTGAGCCACAAATTTCTACCTGTAAATCACCTCATTTGCTGTGTCCTGCTCTAGCAACCAAAATATACTTATATACTCCCTCAACCCTCTAATTAAAATAAAAATGGAGCTGGAGAGATGGCTCAGCCATTAAAAGCTAGACTCAAAATAAAAATCAAAACAAAACCAAACAAGAAAACTGTATGTGTGTGTGTGAGCATATATGCATATGTGTGTGAAGTTCCTGCTCATATATGCACACTGAGGCCACAGAAGGCATTCGATATCCTCTGCAACTCTGCCAAAACACGAGCATCGTGTTTTCTCGGCCGGGCAAGCACCAGCAACCCTCCTGTCTCTACCCTTTCCTGGAGCTGGGCTTGTTGTGTAAATGCTGGAACATCCACTCCAGGCCCCGTGATTGCTCCGCAAGCGCTCTTAACTCCTGAGACATTCCTCCAGCCTATGTTATTTCTTAAATCCCCCCTTTGCATTTTCTCTGCTGGAAGCATTCACAGCCTCAAACCCCCAGGAATGTTCCACCAGTTAGTAAGTGCCTGTATCCATGTGTATATCACAGGTATTCGCCAATCGTCTCAGTAGAGTACACAGGAGAGGAAATGATGTGAGCAGCAGCAGGCAGGCAGGCAGCTCCGCCAGGCAACCTTAGAATGTTGATTATATTCGGTTACAAAGGGAAGAGAGCTGTGCTCTTTGCTCTTCGTAACACAGCATGATTCCTTCATGCATATTCCTTCTTGATTTCTGCCTTTCCACGGCAGTCTCTACTAGAAGGCTTTTGAGTCTACCCAATTTTTTAACCATTGATTTTTTTTCTCTCTCTCTCTATGATTCAACCCTGGGGACACAGAAAAGATTCTATCAAACTTCTCTTGTAAAATAGACTGGCATAAATAATGTGCAAACGCAGGCAGCCAGGCTGCGGCCATCTCTCAGCCCTTGGATCTCTGCAGTGAATTCAGGTGATCTAAAGGCAAGGATATGCAGCCTGCCTCTCTCTCTCAGCCTCTATGCCTCTATAGGTCTGAGCTTAATTAATGAGACGGGGAACCATGCTGAGGGGAACACTGTAAGGTGGGGAGGCATGAAGTAAATATATGAGTTTCCTGAATAAACCCCAAAGGAACATCCACAGCACAGACACCCAGGACCAGTGAAAGCAGAGTCAACACCAAGCTGAAAATAAATACAGCTGAAAATACAGCTGTCTCTTTCTCCCGAAGTCAGTGAGCCTCAGGTGGGAAGAGCAGAACATAAAGAAAGCTGCAGACTCCCCCACGCTTTGCGGCAGTGGAGTCGGGGCTTAGACAGAGCATGTGGAAGCAGGCAACCTTTCTATCAGTTCACAGATCCTGGGGGCGGGGGGGAACCTTCCGGATGAATACTTCTCGGGAAGGCCAGCAGAGGGACACGCGAGGGGAGTACTGCAAATGGAGAGCACACACATTCATTTTATTCATTCATTCGCCAGCGGTCATGGAGTACATTGCCCTCTGGTAACCACTGGGCTTTACCTCCTTCCTCGTGCACGCCCGGTGGAGTGTGTCCAGCGCTGGTCTTCCTAACTTGGAACACATCCAGAAGAAAGGCAAAGCTTTAACCCCTGAATCACATTTCTGGAAAGGGATTATATGTGCTATAGGGACTCGTGTCTGTAATATAGTAATTTCTATCTGTAATACAGAAGTCTCATATTTACAATATAAAGACATGTACCTATGCAATACAAGGATTTGTATCTACAATATAGGCTTGTATCTATAGAACAGAGACTTGTAGTCATAATATAGGACTTAAATCTATAATGCAGGAGCTTGTACATAAAATATAGGATTCATATCTACAATATAGATATCTACAACATAGGACTTTGTATATAAGTATAGGATTTATGTCTACAATATACGACTCCTATCTATAATACAGGGACTTATATAGATAAAGCAGAGATTTGTACCTCTAAAGATGCAAATCTGTAATATAGGAAGCTGTGTCTATAAAAGGGCTCCCATTGCATGGCAACCCAATTTTAAAACATACACAAGTGATTTAAACAGATAGTTATTAAAAAGAAGATACCTCAGTGGAAAATAGCACCTGAATATGTCCTCAAAAATGTGCATCAAAATCACACCAGGGTTCCACTTCACGTCCACTAAGAGAGGTAATAAAATAGGTAAGTATTGGGGAGGGTAGCAAAAGCAAACAGTCAAGCTTGCTGCTGTGGTGTGAAATGCAGTCATTTTGGAACGTTTAGTATTTCTATAAAAATGTACTCTTAAGCTATCATACGGCATGGCAGTCCCACCCCTAGATACATGCCCAATAGAAACGAAATGTCAAAACATCAGCCACACAATGACCTGTGAGTGAACAGCCATAGCAGCAATGTAAGGAAAAACAAAACAAAACAAACAAAAAAAAAGGCAAAAGCCTAATGTCTACCAAGTGATGAACAGGTAAGCAAAATACTTCCATAGAGAAAGGGAACGTGATTCCTTAGCAGGATTCCTAAATCTGTAGCTGGGACCCCACGCAAAGATGAGGCAACATTCGGGCTCACTCGGTGTCATCGACTACAAACAACGGCTTGTAGAGCTGTACTTACAGGAACAGAACTAGAGACCTGTGTGTTAAATAAACTCTGAAAGATGAAGCTAGTTCCAGTATTTTGTAGATCAAATCTAAAAATGAACTTTCAGCAGGGAAGTAGCTAGACAAAGGAAAGCGTCCTTGCGCTCGGAGTTGGAGGTGGCGGTGGGAGGGTTCCTAGGCTGGTTATGTAAGCTGCCCTGGCTGGACTCCAGGATCAGGACCCGCGGGCATCTCCAGTGATGTTTCTGGAGGAGAAGGGAGGGGTACATCTTCGTGAATATATGTCTTGCTCTTAGGCAAACAGAAAGGAGAGGCTCTTTTCTGCGTGCCATTCTTAGTGTGTTTCTTGGCAATCCTTCCGACTCAGAGGAGGCATATGCTGGTCTCCTTTGCCGTGGTGAAATGGGGGGCGAGGAGACAATGAAAAGGACTGAAGTACTGGTATGTGCTTATGTGGATGAGCCTTGAGGGCACAGTGCTAAGTGAAAGAAACATGC